CGAACCCGCGGGCTCAGGCAATCCACTCACCTCAGCCTCCCAAAGGCACGGGATTACAGGCTGAGCCACTGAGCCTGGCTGGAAAAAGATATTTAAAGACAAAATTTAAGATATCAGTAGAACATTTCACCTCCTAACTGACAAAGAATAAAATGTCCAGTGTTGACAGAATACTTGCCCACATATTTGTGTCTTGGGTACCTGCCTGGTAGTGAGCAGATTTTCCCAGGGCTTCCTCCTGGAAGACCCATTCCTGCCCTGTCACTTAGGAACCAGCTGGTCTTTCTTACAAGTAGCAGTGGGAGACCAGGTGTTGTGGCTCACACTTGTAATCCCAGCACTTTGGGAGGCAGAGGTAAGAGGACTGTCTGAGCCCAGGGGTTCAAGACCAGCCTGGGCAACTTGGTGAGACCTTGTCTCTACAATAAATCAAAAAATTAGCTGGGTGTGGTAGTGCACGCCTGTGGTTCCAGCTATTTGGAAGGCTGAGGGGGAAGGATCACTTGAGCCCAGCAATTTGAGGCTGCAGTAGCTGTGATTGAGCCATTGCACTCCAGGTTGGGCGGCAGAGTGAGACCCCAACTGAAAAAATAAAGTAGCAGTGGGGTGGGGTACAGAGCTGTTTTCTTCCCTGGAGTCCAGCTCCTGAATGGACTCTTCTATGTGTTCCTGCCCTTCCTTCCACTTCTGCAGAGTTGAGAAATAGGCCTGCTGACCAGAGCTGGGCTGGTAGGACTCCCCCACTGTGGGTTTTTAACCAATTATCTTTTCAAAATGTGGCGTGTAGTAGGTGGTTCACAGACAAGAAACCTAGGTTGCTGACTTAGAAACAATGGGCAATTGAATACTATTAAAAGTATTAGGCTGGGCTCGGTGGCTCTTTGGGAGGCTGAGGTAAGTGGATTTCCTGAGCTCATGGGTTCGAGACCAGCCCAGGCAACTTGGTCAGACCTTGTCTTTACAATAAATAAAAAATTAGCCAGGCATGGTAGCATGCCCCTATAGTTTTGGCTTCTTGGAAGGCTGAGGCAGAAGGATCTCTGGAACCCAGCAAGTCAACGTTGGGGTGGCCATGAGTGTGCCCCTGCACTCCAGCCTGGGCGACAGAGTGAGACTCCACCTCAAAAAAAAAAAAAAAAAAAAAAAAAGAAAGAAAAAAGGTCTCTGAATGTTTGTCTACATCAATTTTCTGGGTCTTCACCCAGAGCCCGAAAAGCAACTGGTTCTGAACAACTCAGTTACAAGCTACAAGTACTCAGTGACAAATCTGGTGACCTACCACAGAGTTGGGAGCTCCGGAGCGGCTCAACAATTCAGGCCCTTGAAAAGCGTCGTGAAACCGTCTTCATGGATCAAAATAATCATCACGTAAAAAAAAAAAAATGCCTTCAATCTCTCACAGATTTCAAAAAAAAGGACTCAGCATGAAATCCTACACAATCTTGACATTCACCCGCTTTTAGGGTGTGCTACTTCCCACATCTGGGTTCCCATCAGATCAAGAATTCAATAAAGGGTTTGTTCCATCATGCAACTGTGACCTCATTCATGGCTCAGACTCAGGCCTGTCAGAGAATGACCCATAAGCCCCTTCTGGCCTCAGAGCAAGTGTACTTTCAGTGGGGCTCATCAGCACTCCCGGGGGGTCTGAGGGTGTGGATCAGGGCGTTTTGGCAGTCCTGGGCTTTAGGGCAGAGGAGGATTTTTTGGGCATGTTTTCCTGTTACTCCCCAGGGTACCAAAAAAGGTATACAAGTTTTAAGCAGTGTTAAGAGACACTTGCTGTTATCAGATACGTCTGTATGCTGTCAGGGACCACTTTGAGCACCTCTTATAATTGCAGAAGACAAACGTGGCTTGCATTCATCTTTTGTTATTGGTACCTATGGAGTATCAAATTTTAATAGTTTTTTTCCTTTCTTAAAATGTGTCTACACTTTTTGGTTCCCTCTGTATATTTTCATGAGTGAGTTGAGAGTTATACAAGGAAAACATTTCACTGAGCAACCTTGACTGAAAGGTGATTAAGAGTCATTCCATTAATCATGTAAGCCTAGAAAGCAGGGCAAAACAATCAGATCTGCTTGGGCTAGTCATCTTTAGCATTGTTGGGAAAAGAGCAATTAACGAAAACATTGTTTTAGCAGGTGCTGTAGTGTTCAAGCGCGGATGTGTCCCGTGGCGCTGCAATCCTCTGGTGCGGGGGTCCGGTGTGCCATCGGTCTGTCGTGACTGGGACAGACTGGCGGCCAAGGCTCAGCTCGCTGAAGGGCTCCAAAAGGGCTCCAGCTTTCCCTAACGGGCAGCAACTCTGGGGATGTTCTGTTCCTGCTCCCGGGGTTTGTTCATCGTGAGCATGATTTGACTTCATTCGTGTCTTTTCAAGCTTGACACGTTGCCTCCCATTCTGTCCAGGGACATGCAGAGGAAGTAAGAGAGGGTTTAATGTACAAGCTAATTAAATATTTCTGAAGGGCCTACTATGTTGGTAGGAGACTTAAGGCGGGGGTAATGATATGACTCGTTCCTATCATGTGGGGTGGTTGAGAGATAGAATGTTTAAGTTATTCCTTTAAAAGACCTTTAATCAGCTGGGCTCAGTGGCTCAGCCTGTAATCCCGTGCCTTTGGGAGGCTGAGGTGAGTGGACTGCCTGAGCCCACAGGTACAAGACCCGCCTGAGCAACTTGGTGAGACCTCATCTCTACAATAAATCAAAAAATCAGCCGGGCATGGTAGCGCATGCCTGTAATTCCGGCTATTCGGAAGGCTGAGGCAGAAGGATCGCCGGAGCCCAGCAGGTCGAGGCTGTGGTG